AAGGTTGTCCGGGGCATCTGGCAAGTGGATTTCTACACCCTTTAAATATACACATTTCTAAAGTGGATTTAAACATTTCAAAACATCTCGAATCCAAATGTTTTGTATTGCTGTATATAATGGTTATATAATGGTTATACATAAGCTATTCTTTACACCACAAATTTGAACAACAATCTGTAAGTACAAATATAAAGTCTAGGCTCACCCCACACAAACTGGCATGGCGGGCTTATATGCACTGTCTCATGCTTGGTTTGGTTTAATTTTGTTTGACGTCCTAACAGCTAAGGTCATTTAAGGACGTGCCTCCATGTGAGCAGTGTATGTGTGCTTGCTTGTGTGTATGCAGGAGACATGGTATGTTGGTGTGCTTGCCTCCTTGTGATAGTGCGGATCTGATGCCTACTTTATAGTGCTATCTGAAATGCCATGTCGACGGCACTAAGCACAGCATTCCGCCCGGTCACATTATACTGCCAACAGGTGAACCAGTTGTTGCCATTCCCATTAATACTGAATCTTAACCAGGGAATAATAACTACCATTTTTAAGGAGTTTGATATGTTCCAGCCTGGGTACAGAACCCTTTGCCATCCTCACCTGGGCGAACGCTCAACAATCAAGCCAAAAGTGAGGTGTTGCCAAGCAAGGCGCTAGGAAATAAAAGGTAGTTAGAAGTAGAATATTTCAAATATTGCAATGGGTGCAGCAGACTTATTTTTGTCGCTTTTGTGTCCCCAAATAGAGGACACAAAAGCATGCAATGCAATCTGCATAGCCTCATTAACATTCAATGATTCAAGTAACATACCTGTATGTGCTTATAACACTGTACTGGTATGTGCTCTTGCTAACCAAATCCAATGTTTGCCAAAGCTTTTCAGAAGGTTTGCATCAATAATGTACTTTTCACAAAGCCCAGCTCAGGTAGTCTGATCTGACCTCTGTTCAACAATAATTATAAGAGTTTTAATTTTAACCAATCACATACCAGGGATTTATTCTCTCCTGAGTAGCCGTTTTTTGTTTC